CACGGTATCCCATATATCGCGTCCTCTCCTGATATATTTTCTCTTCTTATATCAGTATTTTTCGCTATGCGTTTTGCTTTATTTAAAATGGAACCTAAACTACGGTTCAAAGTTGTGTATACTTTTACATTAAATTTTGCTAAGATATGTCGGAGTTTTTCAGTTATTACATGTCTATGTGGAATAACTACCACATAGGTTTGTATATTGTCTTCTTTTCCATTTTTATTATTGTTTTTGTTTTCTCTACTTTTTTTAATTTTCCGGAAAATTGTTTCCACAACTCTTTGTGGGTAACCATTATTACTTAAGATTTGTTTCAACTAAACATATCTCTTTCGTTTTCTTTATTGTTATTCTTTTCACCATATTAGTAACTATATTTTGCTTCATAGCATAGCTATGATCTGAATCAAAATTTAATGCTTTTGAACTAGCCGTTGGTTTCCGAAACCAACTGGTCTCTCTTGTTCCACTTATTTGATTGATCTGAATACTGACATCCAAAAATGCTATCTTATGTTCTACTTCATATTCAAAAGTAAATTGTAAATCGTTTTTTCTATTTAGATCTGTTACTAATTCCTGGATTTCCTTTTTCTCCATTTTTGAAACTAACAGTATATCATCAACATATCTTGCTAATCCGATATAAGGATATTTTTGATAATCCCAGTTATACAGCAAAAATTCATTTAAAGCTATGTCCGCTAGAAATGGCGAGATTGTACACCCCATCGGCAGACCTTTAATCTGTTTGTAAAAATTATTTCCAAATTGAAAACTAACATTTTCTATACAAAATTCAACCAATTTTATTAGGCTTTCTTTCCTCAAACTCGTTTTAGTCTTCCACGACTCATCGTTATCTAACAATTTGCTAAACGTATCTAACACTTTCTTTCGATCGACCGAAGTAAATAAATCGCTAACATCTAAACTCGCTAGTTTACTACGTTTTTTAACTTTAAGTTTGTACAACTTGTTTATTAAATCTTCTGTATTTTTGACTGAACGTGCGTTATCTGCTAACGATTTTGTTATGTTCATGATATATTTCGCTATTGATGAACCCATAGTTTCTCTCATAGATACTATCAATCGCATTGATTTATCTTCTTTATGGACCTTTAACTGTCCCCGAACAAACGGTAAGTTTTTATTTTCAAGCATCATATTCATTTCATCTCTATCTATTTCTTGTTTTCCCACTAATTCTGATAGCAGTATTTCTAATCGTTTATATATACCTTTCGATGAATCTTCTAATTTTTGATACGCTTTTGTGTCTAATTTCTCCTTTATTTTCTTAATGTAATCCTCTACATTCATGACTACAACTTTTCCTCCTTTATCCGCTGGTATAATGATGATATTTTCATCTTCTTTTAATGTTTTTATCGCTTTTCGTTGACTTTTCGAAAGATTTTCACTTATTCCTGTTTTATCAAACCCTAGCTGTTCTAGTACTCTTTTCACCTCACTTACAATATCTTCTTTATCTCCTAAACTCTTTTTATATATCCCCGTCTCCACCCCCGCTATCACTTTAGACACATAGGTAGTACTATTAAGTGGTCGAGTTGGGATGAAACTAAGTCCTCTTCTTAATAAAGACCGCTCTTGTTCATTTATCTTCTTAGACGAAAAATCAACTACACTATCCTGTTCCACTTCTATTCTGTCACATGTTTCATTTCGACGTTGGACATTTGTGACTAGTCTATCATTTTCCAATTCTTTCCTACTTTGTACCAACTTTGTCCACTTTTCAAATAACTTCTTTCGACTTCTATTTCGAAATTTTTCAACAATATCACTAATGCTTTTACACCAAATTGATAATTATAAGGATTTTAATTTTATCTTTTACGAGAGAGCATGTCGCTGTTTTTAAAAAGTAAATGATCTGTTGTTATATCGGTTATTTGTAGTATAGATTGAAACGTCTTTAACAGTTCTGAACGTTGTGCTATATACTTTGCGCAAAAAAGGAAAAAGTGAGATGATGATTCGCTTTTATATCCGCACTCACACCCGAGGACAGCCACTAAATGCCTTTTAGCCAAGTCCTCATTCAACTGTGTGAAACCCAATCGGAAACGTTTTCCTATGAAGTACCACTCATCGCTCCTAAGATCGGACGCCCAACCTCATATTGTAAGGTGTTAAGTTTTTTCAAGTTTAATTCGCTTGTGCCCGAATAAATGACACTTGCATAGTTGATTCTTCCAAGAGCAAAGGCATTATAAGCTAAAGAGAGTGCCTTACGTGACAACGATCTACTTAGAAATTTGATTGATTCTACTAACTTTCCTGCCGAACTAACTAAATTATCAATATGGAGACCCCAATCTAACTTTTGAGTAAAAATGAGACCTAAATTTTGTTGTTGTTGAACGTAGTCTAACAAAATTTTGTTTATTTTCAAAGATGGTGCGAGAAAAGA